AACAAAAAAACAAACAACCAAACAAGCAAACCAAAAAAACAAACAAACAAACAAACAAGCAAGCAAGCAAACAAACAAACAGACCAAAAAAAAACCAAACAAAACAAAACAAAACAAAACAAACAAACCAAACCAAACCAAACAAAACAAACAAAGAAAGCAAACAAACAAACAAACAAACCAAGCCAAAAAACAAGCAAGACAAAACAAACAAAACTGCAAGCAAGCAAGCAAGCAAGCAAGCAAACAAACAAACGAACAAACGAACAAACGAACAAACGAACAAGCAAACAAACAATGCCAAATTCGAGGACCAATCACCTGCGCAACCTACAGCGGTCAGTCAGTGGAATCAGCAGCTGTGACCTTGACGTCTTGGAGTGCGCAGTGGGGTGATATCTTAACACTCCCCCTTGAACTGTGATCAGAGACTACAGTTCACATGCAGGAGAATTTCGTCAGCGCCTACTCAACACAGTGTGTGGCTTTCAGACTGGTTTGAAACAGTCAGTGTGCCACTACACTAGTCTTCGCAGTTCACTATAAATGCAGTGCTCAGTGCGCCGTTCAGTCACAGTGACACCGTCAGTGATTCCATCCACCGTGATCTTGTACTTCTTGGAAATCACCGTGGAGTGCTCTTGGGCAGCCTCACCAATTTAAGCCTCAAAGTCCATTCCAAGAAAACGGCCTTCATAGCCACAGACAGGGCCCTGACTACCCGCCTGGCACCAGACGACCCAGCGGCGCTGGCCATGCGTGACCTGGGCATTGATCATCTGGCAGCCCGCCAAAAATGCATCTCAGTCATGAAACAACGACTCAGCAATGCCAAGACAAGAGGCCTGAAACTCCGCTCACTCAAGCTGCCAAATCTGTGCGCGCGCTTGAGGCTCCACAAAGGTGGCATCCAATCTGTCACACTATTGGTGCAGACAGGCCTTGCGCCGAGCCTTGGCTACCCAGCTCGGACACCACACTGGGGCATCCAGGCACACAAGCTGATCAGGTTGTCACGCAGCACACGCGGGCCCTTCACACTTTGCTCCAGCACTGGCCACCAGAGCACCTGCCCCATGTCGAGGACTCTAGCATGGGCCCAACTCCATCACCTGATGAGTACCAATATTAATATTCATGGTACCAAGTCAAAAGGACCCATGGCTGTGGCGATCATTTACATGAAAGAATGGGGTTGGAACACTGACAACCACTTCCACTGCCACAGGCCAGAAACCAGCTACCCGGCAGCCACGCTCTGCAAGCAACGTGGTGGCAGATCGAACTCCAGCTCCACCAAGAAGCCACTCGACAACGTGTCCACAGGTTTGCTACCCGGCCAAACTGCCACCACCTCATCAGCGGATTGGACTGGACAGTCTGCACCAAGCTCCTCAAGAGCCTGTAAAAGCCCCAGCAGCACCACCTCAAGACATGGACACAGGCTACACAGGGCCTCAAGTCAAGCACTGCCCACATCGCCAACTCCCAGCCACACTGCAGCACATCCTTTGGTTGCGCAAATGGTACAATGGCAAGGATCAGCGGATTCCACGAGAACCACAAGAGCACACCCTGCACTACTATATAACTTAACAATTGTCATTCAGCAACATCAGAGTTGGGCAATCACTTTGGGCGCCACTCCCACCTGCAACACAAGAAGGTCCTCGTTGCCACATGCAAGAAGCCCTGGCAAGAAGGACGCCATCGCTGGGCCCACGCACAGAAGTGGCTACCAACGCACAGCATGCCAAGCCAGGATCCATCAAGGCCTTGTCCTCTCGGTCATTGAGACGAGGGTCACAGAAGATTGCTCACAAATGCCCGTCAAAGCAACCCACACACCAGACACCGAACCGGACCGCCCTGCAGACGACCCACCAGAGCCAAAGTCATCAAGGAACTGTTGCCGCATCAAGTGGACTCTCCGCCACTTAAGCACCAGCACCAGTCTTAAGAAACCACTGGATACCTCAAATGCAGCCGTTGCGATGTCCAAGAGAAACCTTTCCAAACTTCCTCCAAAGCCCTGGCATTGACCGAGCACTCCCTGACCTTCCCGAGACTGGTGGTCAGGACGAGCCAGCCTTCTTGATCAAGGTGTGCTTGCAACCCACACAAGGCGCAGTGGATGCGATTGCCAGTCTGCCATAGGCAGTGGTGGCCAGCATGTGCTTCGTGCCCTTGAGTGCAAAGGAGCGGCAACCAGGGGATGGGCACACCAGAAACCAAGGGTGTGACGCTGCTACCAGCTCCGACACACCCGCTCCTGCCCTTCTGGGCTACGGTCTGGGGCCAAGGTTGGTGCCCTAACGAGACCCTCAGCCACAAAGGCTACAACCCAGCAGAAAAACTTAAGAACAAAAAACATATATACATAAATATATATATATATATGTATGCATGCATGCACACACACTTAGATTGATGCTCGCAAGGGCTGATTCAGTGAAGGTCGTCCACTTTAGTGAATACGATACCAGCTGCAAACTAGACCGTGCTTGACTTGCAAAACGGTAAGGTGAATGGGCCCGCAAGAACTGGAATGTTTAACATGGGCGAAAGGATGAAGGAAAAATGCAGGTACGTGACTCTGGCGTCCCAGAGTCATTTCACATCCAGGCAATGACTGCTGAAAGGACCACTGCCCCCCCTGCCTCTTTTTATCCCGAAGGGAAAATTAAAACAGAGAGCCAGAGAGCCGATATCGGCGCTCAAGAGATGTACTAGCCACCTAACAAGCCTTAGAAAGAAAGACAAGGAAAAGACAAAAAGAGCCAACGAAGAGAGCAAGAGAGAAAGATAGGAGCAGTTACGAGGCCCACTAGTTATGAAACCTTCTAGCTACAGACTACTTAGCCGAATGAATTAGGCGCACTAGTTAGCGAGCGGGACTTTAGTCTTAGACCGCCCGGGTAGGAAGGACTAGGACAGGAGAAGCAGAAGGAAAGGCACCAACACACAAGTGTGTTAGCGGGTGGGATAAAAAGTGTGAATTCTCGCGCAAGGAGGGGGGGGTTGTGGCCCTAAGGCACTGCCGTCACCGGCGCTGAGGCATTGCCGTAACCGGCGCTCCCTTGACTGAAAGGCACTTAAAACCTAAAGAAAGGCCTCAAGAAAACGAAAAGCAACAGCAGGAAAGAAAAACCAAAAGAACCAAAAGAGATTACTTAGTTGCTCGCCCATTGGTTCTTTGCTCACGTTTCTCACTCTCCTCACGCTCGGCCGTATACGGCGCTCCCTTGACCAAAGCGCGTTTGAACGTATCAAAAAAGTTTTCAATGCTTCGTTTACGCACATGATGTGTCACTGTTCAATCTGTAGGCCCTGCGGCATTCGATCAGCAATCTCAAGCAAAAACGACATAAGCTTGTGGGATTTCAGAGGGAAGGTCACAGGAGAAGGCGGGGCAGGAATCAGTGGGAGTCCCCCAGAAATGGGTCTATGCACATGCTGCGCCCCTCGACAAATCCAAAGCGACAATGCACATCTGCCGATGAGGAACCGATGCAAAGGCTGGACGTCTTGCTCTAGCTACAAGCAGGGCCCACGATTAAATTTCTCAGGTAAAGCTGCAGGTACGTTTACACGGGCCCCAGAGGAGGTCTTCGTTGGCCACCGCTCCTCTGACCCCACTGGCCCCGTGCTGTCACGGAAAAGGAAAAGAAAGCATTCCGACTGGAACCTCGTGAATCCAGAGGGGACACACACACACACACATACTTGCATACATAAACGCATACACATATACATATACACACATACATACACATAAAAACAAAACAAAGACACGGCCGGCATTGAGTTTAATGCTGAAGCGACCAAGAGTTGGACACGCATGTATGTACCCTCATGTACTCTAACATGTGCCAGAAGCGTTTTCCTGACCTGCAATCTGAGAGATGATGGGACATGCGACTGAGCAGAAAACAGGCGGTTCCTTCAATGGGATCATCCAGCTCGGTGGCTTGCAATTGATCGCACAACTTGCATGGAATCTAAAGGCCGTTAGTAACAAGGTTAGCTACAAAAGGACGCTGCTCCGAATCCTGTGAATGTATACTTAAGTTGCTGGAGTTCAGTCGCTTCACCGCAGACGGTACCAAACTGGCGAAAGGCCAACACGAGCTCGGTCACTGGTGGTGATCGGAGTCGCCGCCCATGGTTGGTGGCTTCGGGACAACGAGACGGAGAAGATCATCCGAGAGGGGCATCCAGCTGATGCTGGGGGACAAGGCCGTGAACGAGGAGAAGGACAAGGTCGAGAGCGCCTTCAAGACCTCACAAACCATCTGAAGAGTCATTATGGAATCCCTACCATATTCAGAGGGGGGGACCTCTGGAAAATGTAAGTTACATTTTCTGAGCATGCCACCTTGAAAATGTAATAATACATTTTCCTCAACGCCCCTAGCTTACATTTTTCAAAAATGTAAGCTTACATTTTTGAGGTCCCCCCCAAAAGTGCAGGGGGGGCGTTCCTAAATGTAAGTTACATTTTTGAAAACATGTAAATTACATTTTTTCCAAAAATGTAACTTACATTTCTGGAGGTCCCCCTATATTCCTGGGTAGGATAGAATGTCAATATAATATAATATAATGATTTCATACGATATCATACGATATCGACTAACGGATGAACCGTAAGATCTATCCTATCCTTGTGGTCCCTCGGGCCCGCGTCTGCTGTCGTGCTTCTGGTTACCTAACAAATAAGGGGGGGGGAAGAAAAATGTAAGTTACATTTCCCCCCCCCCCAACAAAATCGGAAACGGATCAGTGTGGCATGGACTCTGTATTTCATTGTATTCCCCAGGAATAACCGAGGAATGATTCATTCAAATTAGGGGGGGGGTCACATCCATATGCTGTCTTGTGCACCTACAGTCTTAAATCTTACTTTTAATCTACCCGCCGCCCTCCCCCCAAACAAATGTAAGTTACATTTTTGGAGGTCCCCCTCCAAAATCGATGGTTAAAGGGGTAGGGATATTATGGACACAGAGTCCGAGACAGCAGCGCTGCCGGAGAGGAGGATCCAAAAGGGAGCAGTCCTGTTGTCCGAGACCGAGTTCGACTATATGGTGAGAAGCGGGCGACTCTGAAGCAGCTGCAACAGTTCAGGGGCATCCTGACGGGGTGGGCCTCGGTCGTGCAGGGCTTAAGTGTGAGTTGAAGGCTGCGGACAAGTTTCTATGCGGTCTGGACGGCGCCAAGGCAATCCAGCCGAAGCTCAGGGGCGAAGGGTCAGCCGAGTGGGAGACGCAGGTCGCGTGGGAGGATCTCTGGGAGCTCTTCGAGGTGCGCCGGTGGCTCAGTGCACGCACTGACCGGTGGGAGTGCTTCTCCACCGGGCTCAAGAACATGCTGCCGGTCATGGAACGCTTGAGCCTGCCCATGGAGTGGGAGAAGGGCCCTAACCGATGTGGAGCGCACAAGCCCAGACCCCGAGATGGTGATCCACATGGGGGAGATGCATACCGCGAGACCGGATGCTGCCACAACGAGTCGGAGCGCGAGGTGGTCTACATGGGAAGGTCCTGCAGGAGCTCTATGTCTACGACCGTCGAGGATCCTGAGGACATGTTCGGCAGTTGACCGCCAAGGAGTTGTGGGCCATGCAGGGTCGTTTGGTCAACGAGATGCCGAATGACCTGACAGAGGAGGACGCGGTCGTCGAGGGGACGAGGGCCACGGGACAGCAGACGGCAGCCAACTTGCTCTCCTTCGCAGGGGCGCTACTCTGCGAGATCATTGAGCGAGAAGCCACTCAGACTGAGGAGCACGGAACGAAGGCGGGTATGATGCCCGACCCGGTGGGCGGATGCCATGGCTCAATTGCTCATCTGGCTTGAGGAAGCGGCGACGGGAGAGTTCGGGCGGGCTCCACCGATCTATGAGCGGCCCAGTGGCAAAGCGGGGGGAAGCCAAAGAGTTTCCCGAGTGGTGCAGCAATGGGCCGAAGCTTGGTGGTGGCAACAGCGCTTCCCGGACTTCATTGAGGAGGAGAACGAGGTCTACTTCGAGGAGGAGTCCCGCTACGCTGGGGGAAGAAAGAAGAAGGACCCCCTCAGGATCGCGGAGGCCATCGGTAACCAGGTGGTGCACGACTTGAACAAGGCCTTTGCCCCCTTCTGTGGTGATGTGAAAGAAAGAGTCGATGAGTGGCTGGAAGAAACATGGCAGGCGACAAAAGCCCAGCCACGGAACGGGCCTATGGGGGAGCTTGGAGCAAGTGGTGCGCCTGGGCCCGCCGACAAGGGTGGGAAGATGAGTTCCTCTACAAGGAGAAGGACACGATCGAGAACAAGAACAAGGTCCTCGCCTATGTGGGCTACCTGGGTTGGTATGGTTGGGTAAGAACCTCGTCGACCCGCTGATCAACGAGCAGCATACTATGGCCTATGCGGAGGCGGTGATGGTGCTGGGCGCGATGCAGCTGGCTTGGTTCTTCATGCTCCGGGCCAAGGAGTTCGGGGAGTCCAACGGCATTGACGAGGAGTTGATCACTCGGGGGTGCGATGTTCATCAACGTGAGCCCAGGCCAAGCAACGGAGGTGACTCTCTACTTCCGGAAGACCAAGAATGACCAGCTCGCCTTTGGAGACAGCAAGACGCTTCAAGCTACAGGGCAAGAGTACCTTTGCCCGGTCCAAGCGGAAATGGAGGCCATGAGAAAGGTGTGGACTATGAGGTTCCAAGAAGGCCATGCGGAAAGCCTGAAGCCCCTGTTCAGGTGGAGCTCCGGCCGGGTCATCCGCAGAGTGGAGATCCAACACCTGCTGCAACTGGCAGCCACAGGCGTGGGCTTGCCACCAGAGCGCTTCATGATCCACTGCTTGAGGATTGGAGGAGCTTCCACCTCCGACATCGAGCTGGTGAAGAGGATGGGGCGATGGTCATCGTCGGCGGTCCAGAGATACCTGTTCGATGGAGGAACGGCGAGTGCCTCTTCCCAACGGATGGTCCAAGGTGGTGGAAAAGGCCGAGAAGAGAAGGTGATGAGGGCCACCAAGGTGTGCTCTGCCGCCAAAAGGAGCAGAGCGCAGCACGGCACACTAAAGAGTACATACAATTGCATATACAGCACACGTACCTTCGAAACAAAGACACGGCCCAAATCCTGTACATGCATTGGTTGGAAATGAAGCAGCCCATGTTGGACACCTGTGTGTTATCATGTGCTCTAGCATTTGCCAACAATGCTTTCCTTGCACCCGTCACATACTGTACTGCGTGCACGCCAGATCACTTGCCACTTGCTGACTCGGCTGAGCAGAGCAAGAGAAAGTAAGAGAAACCCGAAAGCCATCGAAAGCCACAAAGAGGGGCGCTGAGCGGAATGTAGAAAATGCAATACGAGCATACAGTACGGCACTAGTCACTAGGATGTTGGGGGAACCAAGACTGGATGATTCCAACACATGGGATGGCAGATTTCAGGAAAGATTAACCTACGTAGCCTAACCACCCAAGGTGCCCATGTATGATGAGCTGTATGAATTGGGAGCATCCAATGTAGGAGCTCGAATTACCGACTGTTTCCTTTCCTGAAACAGACGCTTCAAGGCCTGTTTCAAAGCACATGCCTATCCTGCCGCTCTGCCTGCTTCGCAACAAGGCAGCATGGAAAGGCCACAAAAGCCCTTGGAGCCTTCGAAAGAGCAGCCACTTGACATGGCACCGTGCCTTGCACTGTACATGGCGCAGGTGGAGTCTCATGCCGACACCTTGGCAAACGAGCTCTCCACGCACAGCCTCTCCCTTCCAATTGACGTGAAATGATTTCAAAAAAAGAAACGTGGTTGAAAATATTGAAACTGCCAGGGTTCTGTTACTTCTTTTCCAGTCTGCCCTGGCTTTCCAGGCGTTCCAGAAGCACTCAAGGAACAACTCCTCAGTGGTGTGGATGCATCATGAGCACAATGGAAATTGTTGTGCCCACTCATCTCCGCCAGCGCATGGCAAATCATCGACTTCAAAGTCGTCTTCAAAACGTTGATGCACAAGTCTTCAGGCGAGAGTCTGACCCGAACACGGCGCAGGGGCAACTTGCTGCCCTTGCTGCCCTGCCGCCTGCACAAGCAGGTGGCTTGGGGTTGGGAAAGTTGGGAACGCACTAGCACATTGAACCAAACCTGCAGAATAGCTTGCGCAGCTGCTTCGTTCGGCTCCCAGCCTGCCAAAATACAGTATTCAAAGTATTAAATACTCCTTTGCCCGGTCTACACTGCAAAGGCGTCAAGCCCATGCCACACCTTCTCGTAGAAGGGAGAAATACATTTTCTGCACGAAGGCTTTCCTCAGATCTTTCGCGGCAACTCTCATCTTCTAACAAAGGGCATCGCTATTAGGAGCAAGAAGCTACTAGGAGCAAAGGGCATCGCCACTAGGAACAAGGACGCTACTAGGGGCTCTTGGCGATTTACCTCAACTAAGATTCAAGTCCCTGCGCTGCAATGCAGAATCTGCCATCTGGCCCTGCTCCTGCATTGATGGCAGGAATGGACTTGGTTCAAACATCCTGTCAATACGAGTGCCAAACAAGCAGGGTGCAGCCACAATGTGGCCCTGCCTTGGGGTCAGAATCTTGCCCAAGGCTTTTGTTTGAACCTGCCCGGTCCGTCAGAGTGCAGCCCTGATTCCAACTGTGGCACATTGAGGCTCATTCCACTACTTGGCGCTGACTCACACGCAGAACCAATTATTGCGCTGTGCGCTTCTGTGCTGCGGCCTGCAGTGCTCTGCCAGCTCTCTTCAAAATCTCGCACCTCTGCTGCCGAAGATCGGCGGAATTGTTTCTTCTGGGCCGCTAGGTACGTCGCACTTCGAAACCAACGTGTTTGCCCGGCAAGTCAATGATCATCTCCAAAGGGCCCTCTGACTTCATGCAGGAGTTCCCTGGTTTCAGGCGTGGGAGGTGGGGCCGGGTCAATGACGCACCTTTGATGTTCTCCAAGGAAGTTCCCTCTTGTCTGCTTCGTGGCTTTTCATGACCACCTCGTTTTGCTTCCTGCAGTTTTTGCTCAAAGGCCGTGGAGGGCCTTACCTGTGTTGGTGCGCTATTCTGTTGTTGCATGTTTGCGGTTTTGTCAATTGAACTTTACCCAGGGCTTCAGTCTTGGTTCTTGGTGGATACGTTTTATGTAGACGACTCACAGTTCTTCATTGATTTTTGGCACAGGCCTCGACAGTGTGATGGTTTCCATCCTTGCATATGCGCGCTCGGAGGAAGACCGAGCTGCACCTGCACAAGCCTGCGTGGACAAACATTGTTGAAAACTCAACCGGATCAGTGACATGAGAGCGCATCGCGAACAAGGAGTTGCGGACCCGAGTTGATCAGGTACGCAAACTTGAGAGAGGAGGGGGGTGAACGAAAGGTAGCAGGGAATCATGCGTAAATACCGGCGTTTTCTGCCGGTAAGGTGCACAAAACCCTGTAAATACCATAGTTTTGTGCAATTTTGAAGCCTCCAAAAGCCTCAAAAACCCTTTCCGACAAAATCTTTCCTGGCTTTTGGTCTTTTTTCGGTCATTTTTCTAACCGAGACGCATCAAAAACCATCGGTTTTTGCGGTGTTTTTTGCCGGACAGCCACAAAAAACACTGTAAATTCCATGATTTTTGGTCACTGCTGAGGACTGGAAGAGCTGAAAACACTGGTATTTACAGTGTTTTCGAACCGTTGACCCCGAGGCGCGCTAGGGTGGAGTTGAAGGGGGAGGCGGGGGGAGCCGCCCCCCCCCCCCCGGCCAGCAAACGAAGATGTCGGGGACCATTTCTCCGTGAGATAGGCTGCAGCTCTGGGTTAATACATTTTTGCTAAAGCAAAAGGAAAACTCAGGTAGCATAACCACTACCTTTCGTGACATCGACCTGGACCATGTAAGCCCATTCGCACAAAACACGGGACAAACACATAGAGTTCAAGAGTTATACGCCAACATGCTCAATATATGATATGTGTGAAGGCAGGGCAGACCACCCGATCAACCCAACGCATTGTTCTTGTTCAATGCCAGTGCACTTCGATGATGTTTCTGTTCATTCTTAAAACCAGCCCCCCTTCGCTGAAAGCTTGATGCAGAAAAGACGCTTTGCTAAGAGCTTCAGTAAAAGCGGGGACTTTGCTGGCTGGCACTTCAATCTCTCCTCAGCCGCTGTTGAGGATGGGAAGAACAAAGCAAGAAAGTTATCATTCAATCATTGTAGTTCAACAGTTGGTAAGATGATGATAATGATGATGATGATGGTGATGATGCCTTGCACGCCAATCCTTTTTCTCCCAAATCTCACTTGGCATCTCATCTCTTGGCTACGCTTTGGCTTGCGTCAAACTATTGTAAGCACTGTGCACCTCACACTTGTCGCACAGTTTGCACTGCAAAAAATGCCAAAACAAACTCGACAAGGTTGCAGGTGATGCAAGTGAAACCCCACCTGTGACAGAACCAGAAAGAAGCTCCTCTTTCTCAGCTCCGGGCTTGGAAGTGGATGAAATAATGAAACGCCTCTGCCAACAGAAGTACCCAAAGGCCCGCCATGACGCTGAACATTACGCCTCGCACAAGACACCCCCTGTCGTGCAAGTCTAAAGGTTCAGGCGGCGCGTGCGAACTGATTCCAATCGCAGTGGCACTAGCAAAATCAAAAATATTCAAAAATACATGTGTGATATCTACATGATGGTTTCACGGGACATTCAAACCGGTATACACATGCCCCGAAGAACGTAGTCTTGCTGATGCTTGAAACGGAGGATTAGAATTGACGAGAAGTGTTAGAAAGGGTGAGAACAACAATTATCGGGATTCTTACTAGCAACCTAGCTGGTACCAGACCTCAGTGGCTCGACCTGGCGTATTTGATTGAAATATGTACCTATCTTCAAAACTAGGTGACTGATGGCACGAGGGCGTTTAAGTGTAGAGCTACGCTGGCTTAAAGCATGCTTGCATGATGATGAAGCTGTAAAGCAAAGAGGGGTGAGAGAGGGTGAAAGAAAAAGTGAAGGAGAGTGTTTGAAAAAGGATGGAATGAGAAAATGTCTGGAGGTGCAGTCGTACAAAAAGATGTGTGGATTCAGGTCCCGCCAGCCTGCCCCAAAGAGGTTTTCCAGTCGATGCTTATGCAGGTTTATGTCAAAGGTAGTTGAAGTTATTTGTTATTTGTATGGATACAGGAATGTCCCGAAGAAATCTTACAGCCGGTATGTCTGGAGCCGTATGTCCGGCTTCGCAGTTGAATGTGTGGACTCAGGTCCTGCCTTCTTACCGTCGAGGTTTGTGGAGGTGTATGTCTAGTGAGAATTAATCCTGCCAGGAAGAGGTCTTAAAGGCGATGTTTATGCAAGCTTATGTCCAGCTTGACAAGAAAATGTCTGGATTCAGGTCCTGCCCGAAAATGTCTTACAACCGATCTGTACACAGGTTTATCGGTGGTTGCACGGTGTCCCGAAGATGTCTTAAAATCGCCCCCGCGCTTTCCACCAAGGCCAGGTAAATCTGCATGGTGAAGCGACATCACAAACGTACATAAGCTTTGCCATGTGCCACAGACTAGGTGGGGAATGATGTCACTGGTTTCCTGCGTTGGACATCTTGGATGCCAGATCCTGGTTGACTTCCCCGATCTTTGCCACAGGCTGGTCAAGAAATGCGTTTGCTGTGGGACCTGGCCTGGCAACATGCTGCTACATCTTGAACAGGTTCACAGTGAACACTGGAAGGCATCTAAGAGGCTGAGTTATATAGGTATGTGCAGTTCATTTTGTACCACTTGCGCACCCCACCCGATGGTGTGCACGCCAACCCTACCAGAGGTTGGAAGAGGGCGAGAACCCAGATTCTCATAGCTGCCCTTGTTTGCGTCGATTTGCCATTTTGCATTTGATGCTTCGGGCGCATAAGCCTCTCAAAGCCAGAGACACAACCTTGGTTCGGCTGCTTGGCTCAGCATTTGGCTAAGGCCCGACGGGGCACCGGGCCCGAAAAGCGGGGTCCACGCTTTCATCGACAGGCGATGTGCGTTGGAGAAGAAGAAGAAGAAGAAAATGATGATGATGATGATGATGATGATGCTGGTGATGATGTATGACATGTAATGCTCTTGTTCTTGCTCCTGCTTTTTAAAATAACCTTCGCCCAGGCGCTCTTGCGAAAAAGACTGGCAGAGGTAAAGAGTTGTGGTATGTGGCACTCGGCATGGCCCATCGACAATGCAAATGCATAGAGACAAAAAACTATTTTGTGAAGCACACAAGTGAAAAACTAGACCGGCCACTGTCTGAGAAGAGAAACATAGCCGGCACCAGCCAACAACAGAGACCCGCTCATCCTTTGCCCACCTTCTTTGTGGTAGGCTGTGCCGGCACAGGTGACGACAATGATGCCCATGATGGCCACGTCTAACATCTCGATGTGTTTCAGAACCCTGGATATTCGAATAAACCTAGCAGCGAAAAGAAAAACATTCCTTCACTGGACCATGGCCACACCAGTAGACTCAGCAAACGATCCAACCAGCCTCCAAGCTGCATCCGGATTCGACATGTTGCAGGAGGCTAGAAGGAGACAAAGCATATTCACCTCAACACAGCACAAGACCAAGGGGGTTCCTAAGTGCAAGCAAAATGATATATATATATATATACAGTATATAGTAATAGGGGTTGGTATTCAGAGGGTACCCCTGGGGTAGCGATTTTATAGTGCTAAAATGCTGGGACCAACCCCCCTCAAAAAATGGTCACTTGTTGACCCTATAAAATTGAAAAAGTCGTC